GCCAACGGGAGCGCGCCCGCCCACGCCTCCAAGAGTACAAGGTAGACGCACGAGCAGACGAGGCCAGCAGCGTGCAGTACCGTCCATACAACCGAGATCTCGTCGACGGCTTTGGCCCGGACGAGCCAAAGAAGCGGGCGGAAGGCGCAGAGCACGAGAACGACCCCGCCTGCGAGGCCAACAACATTTACACCGGCGACGATCGAGGCCATGGCGACCGTTGAGTGCAAGCGACACAATCCGTTGCAAGCTTTTGCTAACTCGATGTATCCTAGAAACGGCCACAGCGAACGGTCTGGAAGTGAGTACTTCAATGCCCTTGGTCGTACATGTAGCCATGCGAACTCTTGGTTGCACTCTGCTGATCTGTGTACATGAGGATTTACCGATCGGTTCGATAAATGCGGGGTCCTCCGAATGGGACAGTCCCCACCTCTTTGTTGCAAACTTGATTTTCGAAATGGAGTTGAATATCAATGAGGTAAGTTGCGTGATGCTTCTCTAGATCTTTGTCTGGCGTTTTCGTGCGACGGCCTTTTGAGTCGCGCCTGCCTTGACAGGTGTTGACTTCTTGACTGGCATCTTCGTCTTGGCTTTCGTGGTGGACCTTGCAGCAGCGCGGGTGGGTCTTGGCTTGGGCGTCGCCACGGGTTCGAGGTGCGAGGTATCAATGGGCAAGCAGTGCAGCACGTCAAAACAGTACGACTGCCACACGTGGCCGACCTGAAAGTGTTCGATCCACTTGGGATCAGTATACTCGACTTCGTACACGCCTTGCTCTAGCTGCCGCTCCTGCTTGAAGCCGCTGTAGACGAACGTGGCGTTCGTCTTCAGTGTTGCCGGCGCGTACGCTGTCTGCTCGACGCGCTTGACAAACTTGTGTGCATTTGCAGTCATCCAATCATAGTCGAGCGCTTGGCCGTTGGAGGCAATGGCAAAGTGCTCGTTGGCGTTCGAGAAACTGCGCTTGGGACCGACCGTGGCGTACGACAGAAAGAGGAACGGGTCTTCGTCGAGGAGGAGCACGAAGAAGGAGGCATCCGATGGCACCGTATGGCACCCGTCGTAGTAGACATTATAGACGCGGAAGACGACAATGCACTTGCCCCGGTGGACACGGACAACACGGATGCGATAGAGGGCGGTGGCCATCTTGGTGGCAACTTGAACTGTGCGCGCCATCGTATGCATAGATTGTTTTGAATGATGGTCGCAAAAGACCTACATTCACACATTTGCACCTTGATGCGCACGATACGTCAGGCATAGGGTACCCAGAGAACCCTTTACGTTAAATGCAGCGCCTCAGCTCAGTTAGTTAAGGTGCATTTGCTGATGAAGCAGGGTTATCGAGAGGAACACTACCGACAATCACAGGTCACCACAATAAAATCTAGTTTTCGCCACTTTCTCGTCGACTGCGACGTCATCAAGGACATGTGGGGTGCACTCTAAGCGGACACAGGCCCCTTGGGAGTGGTCTTGCCGACGACGCTCGCGGGTTACCTCTTCTCGATGCCCCATTCGGCCTCCAACAGGCACCAAGCTGCGTTTCGCTACTTGAACCAGAAGCTGGAGCGGTACACCTGCTTCTGCTTCAACGTCTGGCGAGTCCTGAATACTCGCATCTTTTGTTATAACCTACCGCGGCGCGTGTCGCTCAATGGCACTAGCATCATAGCCTCGTTCTAGAGCCCTGCAATCAAGAACACCGTGCTGACCAAGATGTGCGCACAACACGTCGACGAGTTAGAGTCGATCGGTTTTATTGAGGATCGTTCTTCAACCTCAGCCTACCTCCCCGCCACAGCGATCCGCAACGCCAAGCCGAACAGTCCAGCGCTTTAAACCCGACGCGGTTCATTGGCCCACATCAGTGTTGTTGTTCTGAAACTCTTGAAATGGAAAATATATTTCTGCCAAGAACCTTCCACTACAATCTAACTGGGTTCGTAAAGCATGCGTGTTGAAATAGCCGTAGAGACCTCAGCTAACAAACAAAGCGCCATCCGTTCCCTCCTCCACCTACTTTGTTTCCTCTTCTTCCATGCAGCCAAACTGCCCAGTGGCTGCACAAACACGCGCCGTGTATACGAGGCCTCTCGCTCTGTCAGCGTGCCACGTCATATGCGTATTTCTGGCGACATCCGATGTATGCTGCGCGCATGTCGCAGCCAAAACCGACGACGCTGGCCGAAACGATTGCGAGGCCTGGCAGCTTCGCTTGGCTGCCAAGAGCTCATATTTCCATTCACCACGCTCCAGCCACTACAGCCATGACGCTCTCGCTTGACACGATCCGCCTCGTCAAGGCCACGGCGCCCGTCGTCGGCGAGCACGGCTACGCGATCACGTCGCAAATGTACTCGACGATGCTGCCGAGCGACCCGAAGATCGCCGCGCTCTTCAACCCGACGCACCAAGTGGTGCTGCCGGGCGAGTCGCGCGCGCGCCAGCCCGCCGCCCTCGCCGACGCCGTCGTCGCGTACGCCAACAACATTGACAGTACACCGCCTCCTCATCTCGTGACCGTGCATTGATGTATGATCTGGTACTAGACCTCGGCGCGCTCACGGCTGCGGTCGAGCGCATCGCGCACAAGCACGTGTCGCTCGAGATCCTGCCCGAGCACTACGACGTCGTGGGCACACACCTCTTGGCGGCGATCCAGACGGTGCTAGGCGCCGCTGCGACGCCCGAGATCGTGGCGGCGTGGGCCGAGGCCTACGGCTTCCTCGCCGACGTGTGCATCGCGCGCGAAAAAGCGATCCGCGACGAGATTGGGTCGCAGCCCGGCGGCTGGTACGGCTGGCGCAACTTTGTCGTCGCCAAGGTCGTTTCCGAGTCGAGCGAGATCAAGTCATTCCACTTGCGTCCGGCGGACGACAAGCCGCTCGTGGCCTTCCGCCCCGGCCAGTACGTCGGCGTGCGTTTCGAGACCGAGCAGTTTACGACGCAGCGCAACTACTCGCTCTCGATGGCGCCCCGTACATTCCTCTTCTTGCACCAGCGAGTGTCGTCTTACACGTTAGTATCTAGGCAAGGACGAGTACCGCATCACGGTCAAGCGCGAGGGACCTGCCGCGTCCGGGTGTCCGATGGGCAAAATCTCGTCGTACCTCCATGACGACGTGCACGAAGGCGACACGCTGCAAGTGTCGGTGCCCTGCGGCGACTTTTTCTTGCAGGACGCCAGTGACAAGCCGATCGTGCTCCTTAGCGGCGGCGTCGGCATCACGCCCTTGGCCGCCATGGTCCACGACCTCCTCGACAAGAACGTGCCGAACACAATCCTATTCGTACACGCGGCGCGGTCGCCGGCCGTCGAGGCGCTTCGCGACGAACTCCGCGCGCGGACGGCAGACAATGTGTCGTTTGTGAGCGTGTACGGCTCGCCGGTCGACGGCGAGCGCCACGGCCGCCTCAGCGCCGACCTCCTCGACGAGATCATTCCCACCAAGGACGCGCACTACTACTTTTGCGGTCCGCCGGGCTTTATGCGCTCTGTGCGCGACATTGTCCTATCGCAGTGGCACATTCCGGCGTCGCAAGTCCACTACGAGTTTTTCGGACCCCACGACGCGTAAACGACTATAGTGCATTTACATCATATATATTTTGCGTGTGGACAATATTGTCTTGGATTTTGCCGTCATCCTTTATGACTTCAGTACATGCAGACGAGCACTTGACGGCACTCAACGCATTTCAATGTTGGTATACGTCATCGATGTTCGCCGTTGGCGGCGCTGGCACAGGTACCCGAGCCCAAGCATTCCCAGTCCGAGCAAGGATCCTAAAATGAACCCAAGACCCGAGTCCAGCGCTGCTGTCGTTGTGGGTGGCTCTATCGTTGGGAAATTGTCCATGGTTGTCGTGGGGGCCGTAGCGTTGGAGAGCGGACGCACGAATGTCTGAACGCTGGTGATGGCCAACTGGCTCGTGTTGAAGAGGACACCGTAGTGCCACAAGGTCGTCGCAAGCCACTCGGTCGCCGACGCGTTGAGAAAGAACGCTTGGGCGCTGAGCATGCTCGAGGGACTCGTCGTATGGATTTCGGCCATTAGCTCCGTGTGCGAGTCATTGTCGGCCTCGTACGGCGCAGTGTAGAGGGTGACGGGCCACGGCCCACTGCCGTTGGTCGCTTGCACCTGCGCCGCTTGGAGCAGCTCTGGCACATTGACCTCGTACGCTGCCCAATCGCTGGTGGAGATGCCTTGAACGGACAGACGAAGAAGTACGCTGTAGTTGCTTGGCGGCACCACGGCCGCGCTAAAGTCCCCCGGCACGATAGGTGCGCACGAGAGATGGCAGAGCGCCCGCGGGTTCACACCGCGCAGGCACTCGGAGACCGCCCACGGGTAGTCGGTATAGCATTGCCGCTCCATGCAGTGGAGAAGACCGGGTACGCAGACGCAGTCGTCGTAGCTGTACAGCCGACGGCACGCCGCAAAGTCACTCTGACAGTACCGACTGCTGCACGACGGCCGCGACCAGTACGTTGTCGCAGTAAAGACGACTACAATGGGCACGGGTCGCACGACCCAAAGCGGCGTTGGCGCCACGAACACATAATGCGGACTGGGTGTTGCAGGAGGCATATTGGGGCGAACGAGCGGCCTCGTTCCTTGCGCGGGTGCTGGCTTGGGTGCTGGCTTGGGTGCTGGCTTGGGTGCTGGAGCTGGCGCTGGTTTGGGTGCTGGAGCTGGCTTCGGGGCTGGTGCTGGAGCAGGAGCTGGCTTGGGCGCCGGCTTGGGCGCCGGCTTGGGCACTGGCTTGGGAGCTGGCTTGCCTCCCTTGGCCATCGCGCGCGAATGTCTATATTAGGGCTTGTCAGCACCCTATTACGTTTGCCTTTCACTCCTATTTCTATCAACACTTTGTGTTGATTATAAGTTCAAACTCGTATTTCTTAGAGTCTCGTGACGGTGCCTTCTTCTCGCCGGCGCTTGCGGTCCTTCATGCTCTTGGTGCGCGTCACGACGCGTCGCTGCATATCGACTTGCTGCAGATGCTCGCTCACGACCGCATCCCCGAGGTACTCGTGGCAGGACGGGTGTTCGTACAGCGCTTCGAGCGCCGAGAGGGTTTTGAGAATCGCGTTGGCTCCTGGCCACGGCCCCGCTGATGCTTCGTCCACTGCCAACGGCGCCTCCTGCGACGACTCGACGCGCAAAAGTCGCCGCTCCAAGTCATCGACAATCGCTTGCTTGAGAATGTCGTTCTCGGTAGCGTCGGCGTGCAGCCACGTCAGCAACTCGGCGCGGACGTCCAGCATACCGGGTGTCGGTGGGAACACGTGAACAAGCTCGTCGATGAGGTCGGCGTCTCGGTCGCCCTCGGGCGCCGGCAGCGGTTGATCGCTAAAGAGCAAAGTCGTCCGGCGCCACTGGTCTTGGAGGCGTGTAGGGGGAATGTCGTCCCACGCATCTTTGAGCAGCGCCATGGCCTCGACGATGTGGGGCGGCCGGCCGCAGTCGAGGCCCGCGCTGGGCTTGGTGCGGCCGCGCTCAATGCACTCGCGTACGTCGGCGTCGGGCTTTTCGGAAAAGCTGAGCAATTCCTGGATCAACCGAAACTTGTAGCGCAGCTTGAGACTCAGAAAGAGGTCGGCGCCCATCGGCACGTACAAGGCCGGTGTCTGCGGCGGCAGCAGCATCGTTGTCACGTTCTCCCGCGTAAGTTCGGCAAACTGCCCGCGCGAGTTGTCGAGGAGCAGCACGACAGGGCGTGACGTCTGGGCGCGCACGGATGGCACAAAGACGGTCTCAAACCAGTGCTTGAAGACGTTGGCATCCACGCACCACGCCTTGCCAGACGTCGCGTACGGGAGCGGAAACGTCTTGCTCTCGCGGTACCGCGCTGGCAGCGAGTGGCCGCTGACGTCGACGACGAGCGGTGGCAGCTTGTGCGACCCGGTTGCGTTCGCACATACGAGGAGCGTTGTCCGGTCTTTTGGCAAGAGATCTTCGATCCGCGCCTCGTAATGCGGGCAGAGAACGTCGTAGTGGGGCAGCCAGCGGTAGAAGAGGTCGGTGGTGTCCATGCTGTAGACGCACTCGGACCCAAACGACGCGAGCTTGACGCGGAGCGACCGGAGCTGGTCCAAGGTCGCGTCTGGTGTCACGGCCGACGACTCGAGCTTGGCGCTGGACGTCGTCTTGAAGCCATACCGGTTGAGAAAGCGGTAGTACCAGCCGTTGGACGCGACAAAGTTGGGAATCTGTGCGTGCGTGCTCAGGAGCAGCGCCTTCTCCATGACCTGCGCCGGCGGCACGACGATGCGGTGCGCCTCGAGCGCGTGCAGCCAGCGGTAGAGCTTCTCTTCGAACGGCTGCGCGATTGCCTTGGTACCGCGCTGCCGCCGATCACGGTGCGCGACGCTGCCATCGGCGTGCCGGCTGCGGATTGCATCCGCGTTGTGCGACAGCTTCGTGATGGCCGAGCCCGAGATGCCGTAGCGCCGGCCGAGCTCGACCTTTGTCATGCTCGGCTCGTTCTCAAGCAGGTCTAAGATCTCGAGTCGTTCCTTGTCCGTGAGACGCTTTGCCTTGGTCGTCGGCTCGGCCATCGTCGCAACTTAACGCCGAAATGGCTTTTTAGACCTGTGTCCAGTTGGCCTGTAATTTCACCCGCTTTTCGGTGTTCATAGCCGACTGTGCATCGCTAGTCGGCTATATATACTAGTATGCGGATGCTACCGCGCCCGGATATGGCGCACATTGTATCCGGACACCATCCGCAAAGATGGGGCTTGTCGTGGCCCTCTGGACGGCGCTGGCGCTGGCCGCGCTCTGCGCGCAGGCCGAGCGAACGTACTCGGAAGACTTGATGCTGCGGCCTCTGCCTGGCCTTGGTAAGGTCGCCGCCCACTTTAGCTTTTTGCACGAGGTCGACGGCGACACGGCGCCGAGCGCGCAGCACTTTGATGTGTTCCCCAAGCACATGCGCCAGGTCCTGCACAAGTTCAACGTCGATGAGTTCGAGCTCACGTTTGCGAATGGCCTATGGCGCCACGAGCAATGGGGCGATGCATGGGACGCCGCTCCGTTCGGCGCGCTCTTGTCCGCTGACGTGGCATCGCGCGACGACTTTCATGGCCTCGCGCAGGCCCTTGCCGGCATCTTCTCGGCGTCGCTCAACAAGATGGACGGAGCTGCTGTGCACACGCATGGCGCTCGGCTCTTCGAGAGCAACTTGCCGCGCGAAGAGCTCTGCACGGAGAACCTCAGTCCGTGGCTCAAGCTTCTGCCTTGCCGGTCGCACGCCGGTCTCGGCGCGTTTGTGCATCCGCTCCACGTCCTCGATAGCGACTACGTCTCGATGCGCCTTCGCGTCTCGCGGCAAGCATCCAAGCTCTCGCTGCACCAGACGCTCACGTTCGTCAAGCGCGTTGACGACGGCTGGTCGCTCGCATCGGCCCTCGGCGCCACCGAGGCGTCCATGTGTCTCTTAGCGACCGAGTCGTCGATCACGACCGAGCTCGCGTCCGAGAAACCGATGTATGTCACGACGCCGCCCGTGGCGGTTGAACGGTATCGCAACATCTACAAACACGTTGTACCGCTTGCCGGCCTCACGTCGGTGCAAGAGCCGTGGCTCGCGACGACACCGCCACCCGCGCCCAAGTCGTTTTGGCACGCGGCGTCCGTGCACCGATACCTCACGGGCTTTGGCCAAGTCCGTGGCGGCGTCGCGATGCGCCTCGTCAACAAGGACCCCAAGGCGCCGCTGCACATTGCATACAACGAGACGATCCCGTCCTTCATGCGCGTCTACTTTAGTTCGCTCCGCCTCGCTATCAACGGCCAGCGACTCGATGCAAACACGTCGTTTGTCGTGTTGACGCCGGCGAAAACACGAGGCGAGCTCGCCCACCTCCGTGTCGTGCTCACGCTGCCGCCGCAGAGTCGGCTGGAGCTCGCATATGCGTTTGAAAAGAGCTTTCTGCCCATCGAGTCGCACCCGCCGGACGCAAGCCGCGGGTTTGACGCGCCGGCCGCCAGTGTCCACGTGACGCGCGGGCGTCAAGCAACGGTACTGTACACGGAGCCGCTGCTCGTGCAGCTGCCTGTACCCGACTTTAGCATGCCGTACAACGTAATCTGCCTCACGTCGACGGTCGTGAGCATGGCCATGGGCTCGTTCGTAAACACGCTGCTGCGGCACGAGCGCAAGCGCAGCAACCTCGGGAAGCTCGTCCACGGCCTCAAGCGTCTCGTCCAGCGTCTACTCCGGCGACGCACCAAGGAAAAGACCGACTAGGAGCCTCTCAGCAAACTAAAAGGCATTCTAGTACGTGCAGTCCCTCGTCCCACCCCAACACACCCCAGCGCGCCACGGGTCGTGTGAAACAGTGTTTGGCGTCCCTGCCTATACAGCGTTTAATACAGTGTCTCCTGCGCTGACCCAGAGCGTGCCACGTACTCGTCGAACCAGCTGGTGTGGCTCGGTAGCGTGAAGAAAGCGGCTCCTTTCTTGGCAGAGACACTCGGCCGACAACTCAACGTCGCGACAACTCAACGTTGCGCAATGCTTGAAGACAACCGATCATGCTGCTGGCTCTTTTATGCCATGTATTGTCATCGAATAGTCATATTAGGTTAGGGAGCGATTAGATAAATTAGGGTTTCAGGACGGCGTCCAAGTAGGCGGTGACGTTGGCGTGGCCCGCGTCCGCCGCGGCCTTGCGCACTTCGGTCCACCCGCCGTGTCGAGTGACCCGGGGCACAAAGAATTTAACAATGTCGAGCATGCCGTGCATGGCCGCCGAGACGAGCGGGATCTGGACGTCCATGCCGTCTTCGTAGAGATACGCGCACATGTCAAACTGGCCGACGCGGGCGGCGTGGCGCATGGCCTCGATCTTGTTGTCGCAGTAGCCGTGCGTCAAGAGAAACTCGGCCATCGCAAAGTCGCCGCGGGACGCCGCCCAGCTCAGCGTGTGGGCGCAGCAGCCCTCGGTGCGGTTTGCATGGAGGTACTGGACGACGTCCATGTGGCCTTGAGACGCCGCCCACGTCATCGCCCACTCGGTGCAGCCTTCGGTCCGATTGTTGTGGAGGAAATCGATGGTCGCCACGTGGCCGTTGTAGCCTGCCATGTTCATACCGTACTCAGTCATGCCTTCGCGCCGGTGCGTGTGCAGAAACCGAACGACCTCGAGGTGCCCGTTGCCCGCCGACCAGTTGAGCGCCTCCTTCGTGCAGCCTTCGGTGCGCTTGAAGTGGAGGAACTTCACAATCTCAAAGTGGCCGAGGTTCGCCGCCCAGTTCATGGCTTCCGTCGTGCAGCCTTCGGTGCGCTGCTCGTGGAGAAACTGGACAATGTCCAAGTGACCGCCGCGCGCGCCCCAGTCCATCGCCAAGTGCGAGCACCCACCAAAGTCGTCTTCGTGGAGACGCTGGAGGATCGCAAAGTGTCCGGCCCACGCCGCCAAGTCCATGGACCGAAGCGACGTCGCCTTGTGCCGCCAGTGCACCGAGAGGTGCGCGACAAGATCGTCGTGGCCGTAGTAGATGGCGGTCTCGGTCACGAGCGGCGCGACGTCCGGCAAGGCTGCAAAGAGCTGCGAAAGCCGGTCGATCGAGTGGTCAGCGAGCCACGGCACGAGGAGCGCATGGAAGGGCTCGAGCTGCACCAGGAGGCGCTTGTCGAACGGCGTGTTGACCCATTGCTTGTAGTCAAAGCCCAGGAACGGACGGAGGTCCTCGAGAATGCCGTCTTGGTACGACGCAATGCTGCGGACGATGCCCGCGACGCTCAGTGCGCGCAAGGCAGATGACTCGCGCAGTGTCGACATGCGAGACGAGAGCGATACAATTGAAAAGTGAATGCGGATCAAGGTGTCAAGGCCGCAGCAGCTGGTGACGCCCACGTTCCAACGCGCCTTTCTTCGAAAACCCCGTTGGGCGGTTGCGCGCGGACGACGACAACCGACGACGATGACGACGACGACGACGACTGGTGCACTTTGTGGACCTCTTCTTCCCGCAAGCGAGGACGAGCACCAGGTCATTGCTAGCCTCACGCTGCTTTGGTGTGAGCCAGTTCAACGACAACCAAACAAAGTGACGGGTTGATTCTTCCAGCCAAAGGATATACCGTTACATCGAATGGCAGATCGTGCGGTAGAGAACCGAGCGGTGGGCCATAGCCAATAGAACTTACACTGCAAGTGCGATACCAGTCGCGGGTGGCGTGTTGAGTTGCCAGCTCGCTGGAGCGGGATCGAGTCGCAGATACAAATCGTCAGTTGTGATTCGACCCCGACAACTAAACGATTCTTCTTATGCATCGTCGACAAGCCTAGTGATGCGCTCGGGTGGGTGCCAAAGTGGGGGTTTCAAGGCCTTTGGTCCACCAAGGGTGTTTGCTACAGTATAATGGCGAGGTCTATCCACTGGGCCCACCACTGTGAAAGACGACTTTGTAGGCTTATCGTCGTTTTGCGAAAGACTTTGATTCAGTACTTGCGGAAGCCTCTCCTTTTCACTGATACCAGCCAGAGTACACAGCTCATCATAGTGCCACAGTGCAGCTGCCTAGCGAGTGCAGTGTTTTCTGGCTGCGAATGCAGGATTTTGTGCGGAGGGTGCCCGGCCACCGATCATCTTGCACGACGGATCCATGCAAAATGCCGGCAAGCATATTTCATATTTCGCGTAGAAGAGAATTCCATATCGGAGCTTTGCGGGGCGGTCTCAAGTGATATTATAACAACGAGCAGCAGAAGCTCAATACCATAGATTAGCAGCTTGAGCTTGAATGACAGGCGTAAACAAGCGAAAGTCCTTTGAGCGTCAGCAGATAGTGTACAACTTACCTTCTGGATTTGCGATTGATGGACCGCAATATGGTTCTTCAATATTGACGGTCGCCTGGCGGCCAATATGAATATGTGTAACTGCTGATGGAGGTTTCACATTTACCACGTTTTTCACATCCCCACCGCACCTTTCCAATTCAATTTTCGGGTATTTTATTTCACACATTCGTTTATGTATTTTACACGTGGATACTCGGTGAAAAACAGCGTCAGTTCCAAATTTCCTCCGCCCTGCACACCCGACCCAGCATGCTCGCGACCGTCGTCGGCCATGGCCTCTTCCCGCTCGGACTTCTCCTGTCTGTAGCCGCGTCCTTCGACCGACGAGAAGGCTCATGGTCCTAGGTTGACTGTCCTCCTCCTTCCGCCATGCTTCCTCTCCGGGCGGATCGACGCCTTCATCGAGGCCCTGCTCTACGCCTTTGAGTTTGCGGGTCTCTCCCTCGTGCTCTGGGTCCTCTGCATGGGTATCTTCTTTCTCGCGAGTACGTCCCGTCACCATCGTCCATGTCTTCTCATGCATGCGGCGCTAGTGCAAGCGTATCGCGGAGACTGCATCGCTCTCGACGACGATGCGACGCAGTCCCTCAAATGGATCGCCCAGCGAAACTTTTGGATGGGCGTGAGCACCGCCATGACGTATTTGGCGGTGCTTTTCGTCCTCTACTTGAAGAAGCAATTGGTTGACATGACCTGCCGCCGCTAGTCCATCCTGCCTTGTCTTTCTCCTCGTACTTGAGCTCCGTGCATCCTGCATCATCGACGTCGTCCAAGCAACAAGCAGTCAGCGATACAATTTGACGCTTAATAAAACCAAAATTCGACGATACTCACGATAATGACGACGATGACGATGCGGTAGCCGGCCGTGACGGGGTAGCTCGAAGGGCAGACGTTGTATGTAAAGTTGGGCCCGAGGTGCTTTGTCTGGTTGCCGCCGGGGCAGTACAAGACGTACGTCAAGGACGCGCCCACGACGATGACGAGGTGCAGGAACCGAATAAAGTACACGACCCAGTGGTGAACGCGACGGCCGCGGCCGGGCTTGAGCTCGCACTTGATCCGCTTCGACTGCTCCTCCAGCGTTAACGTCGGGTCGTTGTCGACAATGACGTTGGCGTATTGGCGCATGTCCCAGTACAGCCAGCTCTGGATGACGTCGGACGGAAAGAAGAGGATCGCTTTGATGCTCGTAAAGCTAAAGCCTACACCGCCGATACATCCATACGGTCCATGCGATCCATATCGAAGACGCGTACCCGTCTTGAGGTGTGGCTTCTCCTTTTGCTTGGCGTGGATACGCTTGTAGTACACGACATGGACGTTGTCCGGGTTGGTGGCAGCCTACGAATCCATGGCATGGATTCTGGTTCAACAAGACAGTTGGGACGCGTCTACCTGGCTCTCGATCATTTCGACCCAAATGGCCTTGGGAAACATGCTCTGGCGCCGAAGGACGTTGGCGTACACAAGGCCCTTTGAGACCCAGCGCGCGCAGTTGCCGCTCGGTCGGGACGGTAGGTGGAACACTTCGCGGAAGAGGTTGTGCCAGAAGCCGCCCGTGATTTCAAACTTGACGCCTTTTCCATCGGCGCGGAAGCGGTGCGAGGTCGCAAGGAAGTGGTGGTGCAGCGCCATCATCGACGCCGGGTTGACGTCTTCGATGCGCACCGAGCAAATGTCCCGGGCAAAGATACCGCCCTACGGTACATAGGTTGCGTATCCATCTCTACCCAACGACGAATGGTACCTTGCCCTTGACGCCGAGGATGTAGTCTTCCGGGTCGTCAAAGAACTCGATGAGCTCGCGGCCATCTCCAGGTCTAACGAGATATGTCGACTTTTATGTGCTGACGAGAAATGAAGATACCTGCAAATGTTGACGAGCTTTTGCTCGCCATCCGGGAGCGTGTAGCTACGTGATGGCCGACGCATGAGGATGAGAAGCAACGACGAAGCATACCGGACGGCCGAGTGCGCCCAGCGGCCGAGGTGCGATGGGTGCAACGGGTTCTTGTGAACGAGGACTTCGACGACGAGGTACTCGATGGCGGGCGGCTTTGTCCGGCCCAGGAACGCATCGATATCGTTCTAGACATTGAGATCAGCTATGACGCCAGTGACGCGTCGCGCACCAGTGAAAACGCGAGAAGATCCTTGCGGGACTGCGCGGCAGGGCGGGCGACAAACCCCGTCCGCTTGCCCTTGAGCCGCTGGATGGCGTCCAGCCACCGGTGCGACGGCGACGCCTGCTGCACCTTGCGCACGGCGTGAACCCAGCGCTGCTTGGAGCGCGACGGCGTCCGCAGCAGGTGCGGGTGCTCGCCGCTGCTCTCGCCGCTGCCCGTGCTGTCGGTGCTATCGTGATGCTCAATGTGCCGGGGCGGCGACATATGGATGCGGATGCGGTGCTCGTGCCGAGGGGGCGTCAGTGGCACGCGCACGACGCGTGGCGGCAGCAGAGGCGTCGACTCGGCCATGGACTATCAGTTTCTGGGAAGCACCAGACTGCCACCGCCTGCCGGCTCTGGCATATCATTGCACTCTTCCGGTGTGGGCAGGAAAACAGCTATACATTTGCGTAATACAATACCTCAGTTGGTCTTCTCATACAATAAGCCCGTATAGAGTTATCGCTTGGATATAAATATTGCCGGGTTGTGTTGTGTCGTCGCTCCTTGGATTCAACTGAATTGCGCTATAAAGTACTTTAACAAGCTCTTTTTTAATATGACGCACACAGCCATGCGACAATGATACTTTTCTAAGTGAATTCCTGGACAGGCGGCCTATACACTGTAGTGATGGCTAAATTTTGGATGGATCGCAAGGATGGCACGACGTGTAAAGAGACGATCGCCTGGCTGCCGAGAACGCTCTTTGAGATCTCAGAGACCCACGCAGCTGCCTCGTCAGCGTCGACGGGCCTTGTCGCTGCAGGACGCACGCACCGCCGCCACTCGAGCCGTGCACCGTCACCATTCAATGGGTGATTGCGTGGTTTCGAACTTTGCGAGTTTGAGAAAGCTACTTGGGTCCGTGGGTGCCAAAGTTGACATGGCTTGCAGTCCATCGAAGCGAGGACGCAGCATGAGCGCAGGGGCCACGCCGACAGACTCACGCCAGATTCGAGCTCAGAAGCAGATCCTAGCACCAAGTAGCCGAGGAACTAGATAAGGTCCTCGGTACCTGAAACTAGTCGACGACGAAGGTCATCGATTGACCGAGACTTTACGAATGGCTCGATCGACGTTAATAGCTCCTGATGTTATGGTTCTGGCTTTGGCGCCAATCACTCATTCTTTGAAAACTCCCGCCCTCTGTGAAGTGAGCCAGAGTGTCGTGCAATTCAAACGCGGCCCATCACTCTTTGCATCAAATTTGGTCACTTTTCCGCACTCGAACAAATGCCCTCGATGACACACAAAGCGCTGCACGCAGCGAGCGTGCAAGCCATGTTGTGGGACGAAGCCATCTCAATGGCCGTCGCGCAGGCCGTGGAGCCCACGAAGTCGCACTCCTTCTACCAGCTCGCCAAGCCCGCCAGCATCCTACTCCTCGACCACGACAGCGACAATATCGCGGAGAGCATGCGTCACCTGCTTGCGTCCCTCGATGCGTCCCAGACACCGGCGATCGAGACCATGTTTCCGACGCCGCTGCCAGCGGATGCTGGGCTCAAGGCCTTTGGGTTTGTGCGCTCGGCCGGTCAAACCATCCGCGCCATGGCTCCTCTACGCGACACAACGGAAGAGTCGCCATGCCAGCCTGGCCTACGCGTCTGCCGCGTGTTGTCGCTGGATGATGCGGAGTGGGCCGACCGCCTTCGCATCGAAGCGATCCTCTTTGGGTATCCACCGACAGGCTACGTCGACCGGCTCCGCGTGGCCTTGGCGCAAATGTTTTCGCGCGATGTGCACTGGCTCGCATACGACGACAATGCTGTCGTTGGATACATGACGTTGCGCTATACGCGAGGCGTGGCGTACCTCCAAGGCGCCGGTGTTCTTGCGACCCACCGCCGCCGCGGCCTAACGCGGCACCTTCTCTCGCTCGCCATTCTCGACGCCATGGACAAGAAGTACACGACCATGGTCACGACGGGCTGCGACGCACCTGCCGAGGCTACGTGGACGGCCCTCGGTTTCACGCAGGTCGTCGGCACCCTCGAGTCGTACAGCCGGCCGCCGTCGGCCTCTGTCAGCGCCTAGGTACTCCGTTCGTAGTAAAGTAGCGTACTTCAAGCACCTATTCTCTTTCTCGCCGCTAATTTGCTTGTACATACATCGGTTGCTTGAGCTTGAGCTTGACCGGCATGCCATTGCTTCGTTGTGGGCGCGCCAGCAAATCGGGTTGGCGTTTTCGAGCTTTTGCACCAATCACTGCCGCGGTATACAAAGCGCAAGAGGCGACGTGGCCGAAAAGCCAGTTGTCGGTGCGCCTTCGCTCCATTAGGTGCGTTTTTATTTCCAAGCCATGGCGGAGGCGACGCTCCTGGACCTCAAGGCGATCCACGGCGAGGACGTGCTGAGCGCCGAGCTCACGTTCACGTCCGGGCGCGACGCCAAGTACTTTATGCAGGACTACACGTACAACATGAACAAGAGCATGCGGCTGCGCGCGGGCAAGAAGAGCGGCAACTCCAAGACCTTTGTGTGCACATGCGCGAGCTGCGAGTGGCGCGTCATTGCGACCAAGTGCAAGCGCAAGAACGAGGACGAGTACTTTTACTTCTCGACCATCCACGACGTCCACAGCGAGGGCTGCACGTCGACGCGCAAGGCCAGCGAGCGCCAGCTCTCGCTGCTGACGTACAACCCGCGCGAGCACTCGATCTTGCTGCCGACGGCCACGAAAAAGCCGCGCCGCGAAAACATCGTCGAGCTTGTATGCACTGACGTATCGACGCTTGCGTGCTGACGCCACATAGGTGGTCAAGACGCTCCTGGACGAGAATGTTGACCACCGCAAGCTCTCGGTCAAGGCCATCCAAGCGCTCTTCCAGCAAAAGCACGGCGCGCCCGTGAGCGCCCACAATGCAACGCGCGCCAAAGAAGTGCTCAAGACGGCGAACGCGTATGCCAAGGACGACGGCAGCGCGCTTCTGGACACGCCACCGATGCTGCAAATGATGCCCCAGCTCCAGGTACAAACGTCAATTTTGGCTTTTTGCCAAGAGTGTGTCGGTAGTACCCTGACATTCAGCTGCTCGTGGGCAAAAACAAGCAGGTTTTTCTTCATTTCCGACAGACGTAGCTTCCTGTACATTAGGTGGCGCAGCTGCTCATGGAAGCCGTGCAGCATGGCGACATCTCGGCGCTGCGCACGCTCTTGCACAACACCAAGGTCGACCTCGAAGCGATCGATGCGGTACGACTAGAGGCAGTGGAAAGATCGCAAACTCCAACCGTGCTAGTTTGGCTGCACGGCGCTTATTGTCGCGACGGCCACCAAGCACTTGAACGTCGTCAACTGCCTCCTCGATTTCGGCGCCAACACGGAAGCCATGAACCCGGTAGAATCGCATTTTAACTTCGCAGCCATCGAAACGTGCGACTAGCAAGGGCTAACGTCGCTCTGGATCGCCGTCCAGATGGATCAACTGCACATTGCCAAGTGTCTTCTCGACCACAAGGCCAACATTGAAGCGACGGACGAGGTATCAAGGACAAGCAAACATCGCGCTCAACCTCACACGTAGCACTCGCGAACGCCACTGCTGTTTGCGTCGCAGCAAGGCAACGTGAAAATGGTCAAGTTTCTCGTCAAGCGCCGCGCCAACCTCGAAGCGAGCGACGACGTACGTCGCCGTCTTTGTCCTCTTGTACATCACATCTCCCTAGGACGACAATACCGCGCTCTTGCTCGCGATTCAGTACCAGAAGCGCGATGTGATCGACTTTTTGATCAAGAAGGGCGCCAGCACCAACGTCCGCAACATCGTACACCAAATGCCTCGTCACGGCGATGTATCAAAGTATCAACGACATGGTGTAGGATGGAATGACAGCGATCGGTCTCGCAAACGCGGGCCCATCCCTCGAAATCGTGCATATGGTCGCCCACCCGTCGCAGACCGTCGCCGAAGTCTAGGCCAAATGTCGTTTGACAACGAGAATTTCTGCTTGCAGCAATTATTGTTTATCTCTTTTTGGTTCCGTTTTTTCTAACGCAAAATCTTCGAATTCGAACAGAGGTCTTTAGGGGGCAACACGTCGGTGGACGGACCCCATCAATGCCGCTGGATACCACGGCGGTCGCTTGCGCTGTCGTCGGCACCGTCAGCTTGGGCCTTGGCACGCTCGGCACCAGTACGCACTACTACGTTCGATTATCAGTCGAAGACTAGCTAAGTTGTGCCTAGTGTGCGGCAGCCACGTCACGGACACACCGTACTGCCCGCCTGTCCGGCGCGGACTTGGTCCGCTCTTGACGCTGGTCGGGTACGGCTCGCTGCTCCCCGTGCTCGCGTGTGTTGTCGCGATCATCCGCGACACGTCCAAGGCCAAGCAAGAAACCATTGCCCTCCTGTTGGCCGCTTCTTCCACGGCGCGTCATGGCACTCAGCAAAGTCCGCATGTAGGAGCTCCAAGCGGCAGTACACAGTCTACCGTCAAGGCGAGGTCGTCGCAACGCGCTTGTGCGTCTACGTTTACGTCGCCCACTTTGTGTCGAGCTTTGTACGTCACGCACCAGTACAACGTCATGCAGAACCCGATTTGCGAGTAGAACAACTGTGTGTGGGAAGCCCTGGTGCCCATGCTGCTAGCGCAACTCGGCGTGAACAGCTCGCCGACGCTGATTCCCTTGACGACTGTCAGCGTCAGCATTCTCTTTCTCCCGCTGCTCTCGCAGTTTGTCGACGCAACCGACCGCTGGCAACTGCTTCGCACGACGACGTTCGTCTGGCCACTGATCATGTCGCTCAGCGCCGTGAGCTTGCTTGGCGCAGGCAGCTCTCGCGCCGACCACCCGATGCGATCCGCCTCGCTCTTTGTGGCGTACGTCTTGGCAGCCATCGCACATTGCGTTCGAACGCTGCATGCGCTGGCTCTGCAGCGGGACTGGGTCGTCGAGCTCGCTCTTCTCTCCCAGACGCCGCTCGAAAGCTGGAACGTGGTGCTCAAGCAGGTGGACCTCGCCGCGCGGCTCCTCGCGCCGCTAATGATTGCAATGACCATGAGCATTCCGCTCGATGACGCGGCTCCGTGGCGCATCTGGCTTGGCGTCTTTTTCGTATTGCAAAGCATGCTGCTGCCGCTGCAGTGGGCAACGCTCCGGGACATCTACCGCTTTGCGCCGTCGCTCGGCCACAAGACGCTGCACACAACGGCCGAGGTGAGCAGCGCGCGGTACATATCTCTTTGGCGCAGCTACACGCAGCACCCTGTCTGCCTCGCGGGGGTTGCCACGGGCCTCCTTGCGACCACAGTGCTCCGCGACGGACATCCGCGCCCGTGGCTCAACCGGCACCTCTCGCCCAGCTGGGACGCAGGTAGGCATGTTCCTGTAGTTCTGACCGCACAATGACATGGCGTAGGGGATGTGGGGGGCGTGGCCATGGGTATGATAGGGACGCTACTCTTTCCTTGGCTCCTCGCCTGCGTGCACCCGGTGGAGAAGCTCGGGCTTGCCTCCATGTGGTGGTACCTTGCGTCTCTCCTGCCCGTAGGCCTCATTAGCGTCGGAACGTTCCAGACGCGCGGCGTGTGGCTGCTGTTGACGATCGCACTCTTGCAAACCGCGCGTGTGTGCGCCGACCTCGCCTTGGTGCAGATCATGCAGGAGTGGGTCGCGTCCACGCGGCGCGGCGCCATCAACGGCGTACAATTGACGCTCAAGGCCATCTGCGGTCTTATTCTCCTTTTGCTCGAGCGCGACGAGGTAGATCTTGGTCTTTTGGTCGGCTGCTCGATGGGGGCGAGTGCTCTCGCCGCCATAGCCTACACCCGCTGGTACACCAACTACGTCTAAGCAACAAACACTTACGAGTCGACTAAACCTCCTCAAGTGAATAATGGTGCGATGGAGAAGTGGTGCTTTGAGACCGGCTTTGATAGAGCAAAGACTAGCGCAGCAAAGCCTCTCCCGAGATAGGGCTAGGGTGCACTAGTGTCGGGTGCCTACTGGATTCCTTGGAATACTGCCCGCCCCGTGAGCAGCAGCGGGCGGGACTGTAGCGCAGGAGGTTCGCGAAATGCATTGAGCTAAATGTACTATTGTTGTACAATAATGTCTTACGCCGTGAGTGATGGTCGCCTTTCGGTTGAGAGCGTACCTGGCACATATTCTTCTCTGTCGACTCTGCATTGCAGTCGCGACCCCGCAGTCTGAAGCCTGGTGTGAAGCTGCCCGATAAACGATTGCCGATACATTGATACAGACTGTGCCGAATGACTCGGGTGGTTTCTTGTGCGATCGAAAGGGGTCGGGTGGCGGTTGCTGCTCGAAGATCGCCGGCTTGCCGCTCGACATACAAAGGTCAAGTGGATCTGATTCTTATTGCGAGTAAAATAGTTGTCTATATTAATAATCACGCTCGTGAGAAAATAACTTGGTGAATGTAGCAAGCGACGGGGCAATTCGATTGTTAAAAAATAAATTGGGAGCGGTTTTGGATTTTATTCGGCTCGAACAACCGAAAAGATCGGGGTCGGCCAGTTTCTGGTAGTACCTTGCCGCTTGCAATGACAGCTCGTACCATGATGCAAGCTGCCTCGCCGACGCTCGTCGGCTCGATGGTCCTCGCCACCGCGTACGTCGCCGCCACGAGCCGCTCGGCGCCCGAACTTGCTGTGAAGCTCGTTGCGCTCGTCATGGCCGCTGCGGGCTGGCTGCGTGCCAGGGCGAAAGCAGCGAGAACTATGCCAGCAGCGATGCCAGCGCCTATCACTCGCCAAGACGAGAGCGACGACGTGTGCTTTGTGAAGCGCGAGGGCTCCAAGAAGGCCCGGGACGTGACGCTGGAAGAGACGATTGTCGAGGAGAAGGTCGAGAACGGGCGCATGGTGCGCACATGCTCCAAGCGCATGGCGACGATTGTGTGCCCGCCGGAAGAGAACGAGAAGCACATCCAAATGTTCCTCAAGAACGACCGCAACGTGCTTGACGCGATTGCCGCGCCACCGGCCGAGCCGTCGAGCCAAATGACCATGCCGACTGCAACGACGCCGCCGCCAACGACCCGCATCACGCGAAGCACGTCGTCCACAACGATCGGAGCTCCATCCAGCGCGATTGCCAAGGACGAGGCAGACGAGGCGCATCCATGGAGCGACTTGATGGGGCCGGCGGCGGCTTGGCTGGCCGAGAAGGCGTGGACAACGGTGTCAGAAGGGCTCGTGACCATTGCGCTCTGGTCGATCTGCGGTGTCTTGTGGAACTCGGCCAACAACTTCAACTCGGACGCGACATTTTGGAGCCTCTTTTGGAAGAAGCTGCAAGACGAGTTCAACACCGCGTAACACTCAATGCACGTCCTACTTCACACGCCCTGGATTGCGTTACAGGGCTTCCTACTTTGCAGCTAGCACATGGTCTCGGCCGAGATCTTCTCGAGGAAGAGCTGGCTCAGCTCCCGCGAGTGCTTGGCGAGCTCAAGGAGCGTGCTGCCGTCCACGTCCTGCACGCGGACGTTGGCGCCCTTCTTGATCAAGAAGACGACGACTTCCAAATGGTTGTGCTTGACGGCAATCATGAGCGGCGTGTTGTCGTCCTACACGAGCGTTGACATCCTTCTTCTATGCACGTGCCACGTACCTCGTCGCGCGCTTCGAGGTTGGCGCCCATGCGCAAGAGCAGCTTGACAAGCTTGAGGTCGCCGCGCTCGGCCGCGATTGAGAGCGCCGTGCGTGAGTTCTACACATGACAGCGACGCGTCACGCATGCTGCGGCTACCGATTGGATAGAGTCGTACGTCGTCGGTGGCTTCGACGTGGGCTTGGTGCTCGAGGAGGGCCTTGACAATGTGAAAGTGGCCGAGGAACGTCGCGAGTACGAGCGACGTGCGACCACACTAATCGTCGCAATGTTTCAACTTGATACTTGCAGAAGAAACAACATACCTCGTCCGTCGCTTCGGTGCGGGCGCCAAATTCGAGAAGGAACTTGACGACGTTGAACTGCCCCGACTTGGTCGCGACCAAGAGCGCCGTGCAGCCAATGTCGTCGCTCGACTCGGGGCTCAGACCTTGCTGCAGAAGCGACTTGACGATCTTGAACTGGCCTTCCGCGATTGCATCAAACATGACGCCCACGGGCTGCATTGGCTACACGGCGCGTGAGCATAAGTGCTTCCACAAGACAACGCACCGGAGGCATCATGGGCATCGACGTCGGCAGGACAGACGACATGGCCGCGACGTGGCTCGATGACGCGACGGGTGTCGACGGCTCGACTAGAGAAATCTATGAGCGAAGCATGGGCGAGACGAACGCACCGACGAGGTTGAGCTCGGGGTGGCGGAGGCAAAACATCTTGTACCACGACGATTCGAGCTTGGCGGGGAGGCTGTCGTACTCTTGGAGAAAGAGGTGCGACGCTTGCTCAATGATGTCCTTCTTCGGGATCGGCTGGCCCTTGTTGGCGGCCGTCGAGACCGCGACCCATTGGCACAGCGAGAGCTCGCTCGTGTGGCTCAGCTCCTTCTTCATCGTGTTCTTGATGTTGAACTTGTCCTTGAAGCTCTGGATCCAGCGCAAATTCAAGTTGTCCACGATGCGCGTGTTGCGCTCGGGGATGATGTAGTCCTTGTTGTACGTCGGGTGCGTCGACGCCTCGACGAGCGCCTTGGCCATGCCGAGGAGGTCGCGGTTGCCCCACGTCGCCGTCTCGACGTGGTTGTCCATCGCATGCTTGAGCTCTTCGTAGAGCCACGCGGTCCACGGCAGCGCGCGGCGGCCACGGCCGGCGCGGGCCTTCTTCGAATGCGGCATGTGCTCGGTCGTCTCGATGTACACCTTGCTCTCCTTCCACCAGCGCGTCGCCTTCATGTAGTTGGCCTGCGTCGACGCCGCGCAGAAGAGCTCGGGGAACTCGAGGATCGCGCGCGACGCGAGGCAGTGCTTCTCGGGCTTCATCTTGACGCCATCGATTGCCGAGCGCTTCGCCTCGAGCTCTTCCGCCAGCTTCTGTTCCTCGGCCACCATCCACTTCATGACGCGGAGCTTATCTTCGTGCGTCGCCACGTGCTGGACGTTGCGCTTGCGCGTCTTCTTCTCCATCACCGGCAGGTGGTGAGGCGGCTGGTCGTCGAGGAGGAGCGCTTCGTGCGGGCCCACGTCGGGCTTCGTGCTCTGCATCATGGCCAACACACTAAATGACCGGTCAGCGTCAGTTGAACGAATGTATTACTGTTGGTACTGGCTTGCTTCTACGCGCTGGGATTGGCTAAAATTTTACACTATTTCATTGGATGAAATTCAATTGTCAGAACAGCGTTTTACTGTGATTGAATTTGAATTTCGCGCCAATACCAACCGTGGTCCAGCACCACATGCAGTCGCGCGGCGGCGACTTCCAGGCTCTACTAGTACAATAGGACACAGTTAGTTAGTAGGTGTGTACCTAGTCGGTGGGTGTCGTTGTGAGGAAGCGAATACGTGCTTGCAGGTACCTAGAGCGCACCGCTGCGCTTCTTGCCCTGTTGTAGAAGGCCAGGTGAATTGCTTCATAATCCTTGGCAAAGTCGAGACTCGAGACGCAGAACAACGACCAGGCGCAGCGACTGGCGACGCAGCGCAACAACATCGAGGCGCTCGTCGAGCAGCTAAATGACGCCACCGACAAGATTGCACATGCGAATGAACGAGTTGTCCAACTCGAAGACGAGCTGCGAGCTGCTAGACGCGCAGATCGATGCCAACGAGTGGAAGGTACAGGACATAGCTCGTTGCCCTGCACTCATGTAGTACGATACAGGAACGCTACGCAGCTCGCGAGAAACAACATTTGCACGAAGAAGCGACAGATGATGCTACGAGCGACAACGAACTTGATACTCGGTTCGACAATTACCAGGTACCGTCCACTATGTCGACCCGTGGGTGTTGAGCTGTCGCTTGTAGTCTGAAGACTCGTCGGACGAACAAGGCGTGCGTCGAGGTGTGAAGCGCCGTGCGACAGATATCAACGAGGCCGCCCCGGTGCAGCAGCACCCGCGGCTGCAAATGGTCTCTCCTCCCTCGGCCGCGATGACAGACGCACAGAGCGACGATCATTTTGCTGCTTTGCAAATCGACACACCACCTGCGTCACCCGCCACACAGGGGGCCATGGAAGAGATTTGGGTACGCGTCCACCCTTTTCAGAGCTCCTAACGTACAAGAACATTCTTAGCGCTCGACCGTGCGCGACGAAATGCACGCGCGCGTCCTCCTTGGCGACGACGTCAATCTCGACGAGGTTGCGTGGTACGCCTTCGCACCAGATTACGTTGCTCTTCTGCCATCGCAGTCATGGCCCCGCGGAGCTGTCTCTGCGCTCGAGTACGCATTTACTATTTCTTTCGAGTCATGGCGTCGTCGATGAGCGCAGGTGCATCGTGTGCCATGACCCGTACGTTGAACAAGACATGGTCATCACGCTGCCGTGTGCGCACCTTGTCCACGAGGACTGTGGCACAGAATGGCTGCACGAGAACAACGCGTGCCCGGTCTGCACAACGCCAATCGTGTCCTAATACCCAGGTACGTTCCATCGAGCAAGTCACTTGTTGGTGGCACAGTCAATGGCCCAGACCGACGAGCACCATTTCCAGACACGTTGGACATCCTTGCGCATTGCTCGTCGATATTAGTCTAGTTGATTGGCTTAAACGACCAATATGTTAATGCCCACTAGCTTATATTTGAGATTTGGGTTTGTTGCGGAATGGAAATATTATCTTTTCCCGAAGATCGCAGCAAGTGAGAAAGCGATGGGAGCCTGCCAGGAGCCTGCCACGTCAAAAGATACACATCCGGATAACCAACGCAAACGCCGGATAAACCTCATTTTCAAATTGACCAGCCGGCGAGCAAGCAGCAAGACCGCCTCATGCCTCCGACCCGAAGCAGCGCGATGGTACCAAGCGTGACGAGCGCCCGCGGCCGGACGAGATCCGCCCCCACTGTCGCTACCCGCGCGAGGACGCAGGGGTCGAGGGAGGCCGCCGAGCGCAGACTCGTCGCGGACCTCGAGCTCGAGAACGCGCAGTGCAAGGTGCAGATTGCCGACCTCGAAGATGAGCTTGAAGCCATGGAAGACACGGCCAAGGAGCTTGCAGATGCACGGAAAAGCTTGACACAAGCAGCGATCGAACGCAAGGAGGTCGAAGATACGTGGAAGAAGCAGGTTCAAGCCCTCAAGAAGCGACTCAAATCCAAGAAGATCGCTCTCAAGAAGCAAGTCCAAACGCAACGCGCAAGTGTCGAGACGCTGACGACCTCCGTCGAAGCTGTACGTCAGCAACTTGCGGATGAAAAGGGCCGCGTCGCCGACCTTGAACGGCAGCTTCATGACGAAAAGTCCGCCAGCCGCTCGTGGAAGGTACACCTCCATGTACTACATTACGCTGACATGTAGCCTTCTGTAGGATCGTTTCGAACAACTTTCTGCGCGAAGCGCGACAGCGGAGCAAGAGGAGAAGGCAGACGCTCCCGACAGTGTCAGTACGACTGAACAGCAGGTGAGTCCCTTCCGGGCCGTCGTCGTAGCTTCGTCGCAATGGCGAAGTTCATCCAGACAACTGTCGCAGTCGATTCAATTCCCTCGGTATATGGTAGCCCAGCCGTCATTTTCCTGGCGCGATTCCTACCCCTGCATCTTGGGCCGCCACGCCTCAACGCATCACGCGGCCACGACCAAGCTTCAGCGATGAAGCCCCAGCCGGGCAGCGCCCTCGGCTCCACTCGCCCACCCGTCCCCCACCAGCTCCACAAGCACAAGCTGCGACTCCAATCACGATGCAACAAAGCACCCCGGCTTTGCTTCGGGACGTCGCGCCGGCGTCAACACAAGGCAACGTGCCCGTGCCGATGACAACGGCTCCGATGAACCCCCCCGTCGCTGATGAGGCGCTGGACGAGATTTGGGTAAGCGCTGTCTACCTATTCCTTGATCTACAAGGCTCGTTCTTTTCGTAGCGCACGACGCTCCAGGACGAGATGCATGCGCGCACGCAGCGAGGCGCCGGCGCCGACCTCGTCGCCGATTGGCACCGTGTCGCCCCAGCGTACATCGCACTGCTGCCATCACAGTCGGTGCCCGAGTCCTCCAGCCTCCAGCGCTTCGAGTACGTTCATCTTGCACTCATACATCTAACAATACGTATGGGACTCAGGTGCTCGATTTGCCTCGAGTCGTACGAGGTCGGGGAGGACGTGCTCACGCTGCCGTGTGCGCATCTCGTTCACACAATATGCGGCACCGAATGGCTCTCCCGGAACAACGCCTGTCCCTCGTGCACGACGCCGATCGTATCCTAAATGTCCAAGTCCACGAGATCGTAGTTACATGACAAGTTGTCATCTTACGTGTAGTGTCATAATATTGTTTTCTCTTTTTCATAGATCTGCGTCAATGAAAGATCTTTTAGTCGGGATTGGCCAATCTCAGGCAAGATAGATTTAATAATGGCCAATCACCGCATAGCTTGGAACTTCATGCGACCCGTGTTGAGCGAGGAGCTCGAGAAGCTCGTGCTCGCGATGGTGCACCCGCTGCCGGACCTTGTCCGGTGGCAGCTCGTCTGCAAGCGCTGGCGCCGCCTGCTCACCGACCCGATGTGGCTGCCGGCGACCGTGCTCGACATGGATGTGCTCCGGCCACTCTCGGCGGCGCAGTACGCAGCGCTTCTCGAGCGGTGGGCTGCAGGCTGCAAGAGGTTGACCATGACTCAAACGGCGTAGGTGGCGCGGTACAACGGTGCTGCAAATGACGCTGGAGGCGACCATTCCCCATGAGCAGCAGTGGCAGATGGACATTGGCCGGCACCTCGACCGCCTCTGCGAGCTGCGCCTTCGCACTACGTCCACGAAAGCGGTCTTGGCCATCCTCATGCATTGCCGGCAGCTCCACGTACAACTTCCTTGTTATGACAAGCGCTCATGGCGTATGCTAGACGCTTGAACTGCTGGAATGCCGCAGCTTGGTGCTGCCAAAACTGCCCGAACCAGTCGCGCTCGCCGTGCTGCAGATGCACACGGCGACGCCACTCAAGTCAGCGACGCTCGCCAACTTTCTCCGCAAGTGCCCCGAGCTGAAGAGCCTCACCATCACAGGTCCATCTTAGCGATCCTTCCCAATACGATTGCACACATCTCGTAGCTGGACCGGCAATCTCATCCAGCATGTTGACCACGCTCGTCCAAGGATGCACCAAGATGGAACGACTCATCTTCAAGTATTGTCATTGTCGTATCAAGTATACATAAGAATGCGTCACTAGTCAATGCGGGGCCGTTGCAGCACCCGACGTGGCTGCCTTTCTTACGGCCTTTGGCCACCAGCTCGTATGGCTCGACCTCTCACACTCACGCGCAATCGTGGGCCTGAACATCAATCTCGTGAGCTCTCAACACTCATGTACTGGAACTCGATCGTGTCTGCTCTAGCGCTCGCCACTCACGCTGAGCTGCCTCGAAGGTCTTGTCTTGGACGGCCTTCGTATTCGCGATGACTTTTTGCGGTACTTGGAGTGCCCGGTTCTCGGTGTCCTCTCGCTGCAAGTACGACGTTTATATATACAAGTTGTTAAATGTGACAGGGTAGAACTGTCGGGACCTTTCGGACGAGGGAATCCGAGACTTCATTGCCGCCGGTCCTCGGCCCACCTTGCGGGCCATCGATCTCAAGGTCCGTGTCTCCTTCTTCCACGCATTGAGGCTGGCGTAGAACACCAACATTTCCGAGACGACCGTGACGACGATTGAGCGTATGTGCCGTGGCTTGACTCACTTGGGCGTCGAGTCGTGCCGCAGCTTGCCACGAGCGATGCGGCAGCGCCACGCTTTGCAAGCGCACCTGCGCCCTTCCGCTTACGAGCGGGTCTTGGTCGCGACCAACACAGTCTCCAACCCCAACGTCCGCGAGCGACGGCTCCTCGGGGTCGAGTCGGGTGACGACGACGACTACGTGGGGCCGGGCGACGATGACGAGGACGCGCCACTCGAGCAGCCAACACTCCACAGTAGCAAGCGGTCGCGCCACCGCTAAGTTCTCAGATTTTCGATTGCATGAACATCTATATTCGAGTATGCTGTGGCTTGATGGCGCGATTGTCTTAGTTGTTCTTCTTCTCGAGAAGGTCCCACTTGTTGCCGTACAGGTCCTGCCAGACAACGACCCAGCCGTAGAGTTCGTGGCGCGGCTCTTCGCAGAAGACGACGCCGTTGGCCTTCATGCGCTCATACGTCTCGTGAAAGTCGGTCGTGTTGAGGAAGAGCCAGACGCGGCCGCCGCTCTGGTTGCCAATCGCCGCAAGCTGCGCGTCGCCAGCGGCCTGCGCGAGGAGGAGACCGCCGGCCGTCGCTGTCGCGCTCGTTGGGTTGACGACGACCCAGCGCTTCGTGTCCGACTGGCGCTCGTCGCAGACCAAGTAGAAGCCGGCCTTCTTCGTGTAAAACTCGATCGCTTCGTCGTAGTCGCGGACGACCACCGAGACAAGTCCGAGCGCGCTGGGCATTGTTGATTTGAAAGGCAAATTGAACTGTGACGCGTATCCGGATACGCCGGGTCGTTCCCGCCGAATTCGGTTGCTGCGGTTTCGCGCCACCGTCAAAAAGGTTGTCGACGCGGGATCGGTAATGATTATGGAAAAGATATCCTCGATTCGACGACGATTTGACCAACAGGATCGTCTTGTGTACTAGTACTCGGCGAGTACGAGACTGTCAGCGCGATGGCAACCGTTGGAACCGATGCTCGAGACTGACTGATTCGGTTGTACCGGCGGCCCCCTTCAAGAAAATAAGACATCTTGTTCTTAGTTCACTTGGCTGTCTTGGCTCCCTTGGACGCTCGCCAGATTCTTCGACGACGCTCATGGCGCCGTTCTCAAAACCGTTTCTTATGGTCCTCTGGTCGATCGTGCGCGCCGAGTCTGGCACACATTTTGGCGCGGACAGAATGACCGGGCCTTGCACTGGGCGTGGATGGCCGATTTGCTCAAGGTCAAGGTCTCGGACCCTCACATTAACGCTGTCGACGCTTTTTTATACAAAGGTACTAGTACTGCCGTTGCCACGACGCACAGTGCTTTGCGCCATGCTAATTCCTCGCACGATCTACGTCGAGGCCCTCCCACAGTATCGCCTCACGAGCGCACCCAAGAGTCATTAATATGGCTTGGAGATGCATGTGCATGACCCCTTCCGACATGAGCGCGTTGTATCACAGGAACGGCGGGTGATAGATCTGTCGTGTGGCGGCTGCTTGACCCGCCATTTCGCAGCGGCGAGTAGCCAATAGTCCGACGTAGTATCTTTTCATCGAATGACGTACGAGATCGCGCCCGTTTTTCTGCGGCCGCAGTAAGTAGCTAGCGGCTCTTGCGCTCTGTAGCCTTGATCCTGGTTTGAAGGGATTGTGTCGCTGGATTATCCAATGGATAGGACAGGATACGACGGCGATATTGTCTATAGCGGATGATGCTTGCGGTCGAGCAGGAGAGTTGGCGACGTTGACCATCATGGGCCGTCGAGCACGAGAATCATTCCGAAGCCGCCCCTTCTCCGAGAGCTACTCGAGGATCCCTTTGTGGCCAATCGGCGCCGGTTTCCATTCATTTCGCTCTGGGATTGGCTAGCTTTATAGAATCTCGAAAGGACCAATCGTGGTGCCGCACTCGTGGAACAGCTGCGTTCCGCCAATGAAATCGCTTGAAAAATGGAAGCCGGTGCATCGGGCCGCCAGGACACTCGACAACTTGCCACGAGGTCGGGAGCATGGCTCGTATCCACGGAGCGCAGATCATCATCATCTACCTGCGCAACTTGAGCCTCTTCGTCGCGATCGTGTCGCTCGTCTCGCGCATCGTCCACTATCTCCGCCCGTGGCGCAAGGCGACGCACGAGACCGCGGCGCTCCTCTCGCGGACATCGCCCATCATCATTCACGAAGTCACCACGTCCGAGGTGTTTGACTTGCCAGCCGACGTGCTTAGCGCTGTGGCCTCGCCGACATTTGTTCAGCGGCAGTCATCCTTGATCCGCACGCAGTCCTTTCGAAGGGCGTATGTGGCCAGCGCGCCCACGCCGGCACCCGTGGCCTTGCCGTGGCACCACCGCGCCTTGCACTACAGCATCCGCATTTGCAAGAATGCGCTCGAAAACTGCGTGACGACGCTCGCGACGATCCTCTTGACCGGCGGAATGCTCTGTGTCTACCAGAGTCTCCAGGGCATCGAGCCCGAAGTCGACTTTGTGACGTTTGTGCGGCATCAGGTGCACCGCCTCATACGCTAGCGCCCTAGTCGTATGTGTGTGCGTGGACCTATTTATCATTATTTACCCGTCTTTGCGAGTGCTGTCTTGTGTGTAGATACTGGCGGCGTGAAAATCAGAGTCGTTTGCAGCAGCGTACCAACTTCGTCGTAGCGTTAAAACCAAAAACATACTTTAAAATGAACGAATCCAAACACCACATTTGAGGAAACGATATATACGTTTGCATCGCATAGGCATTAAAGTTAATGCCCGCCACGAGTCGACTAGGTGATGCAGAGAATGGTGCCGCCAATGAGACGGGGCGCCGGTGGGGGCGGGGGCACGTCGCCGCCGAGCTTCTTGCAGTAGCACGTACCTTTCGCGTTGGTCGGCTGCGCATAGTAGTCGGTCGGGCCAAGGTACCACGCAAACGCATCGGCGTTGCCATTCGCCAGGCACTTGGCGCAGTCCTGGAACGACCCCTGGAAGTTGTTGACGTCGCCTTGGTGCGGCACGTCGTACTGGTCGTAGCACGCCTTGTAGTTGTGCGGGATCGAAGCGACAGCCCCGAGGTTCACGGCCTTGCTCCACACCGGGTAGTAGTTGTCGGCCGCCTTGTGCAGCGTGCACGAGGTGAAGTACGTCGAGTGCGACACACCGGCGCAACCTGGCGTGCTCGCACACGACGCCTGGCACGCTGCGAGCGTCGGGACGGTCTTGGAGGTCGAAATTTCGGCGCCCTTGAGCTGGTAGCCCGAGTCCGAGACCCACTTGGACGTTGTCACGGGCGGTGTGTCCTTGCAGGCCTTGAGGTTGCGAGAGTCGGGCGTCGGAGCGCGCGACGTGTCTTGGAGGTGCTTGAGGTAGCACGTGCCGCTGGCGCCGGCATCGTCTTGAAGCCACGCAAGTGCATTGCAGTTAGCGTTGGTGCGGCAATTGTAGAGGCAGCCGTCGTAGCCGGTGCGGAGGTTGGAGAGGTCGTCGCCCCAGTAGTCGGCGTGGTCGGCGCACACAAAGTTGCGTGCTGGCGACCGGGTACCGGGTTGGCACATGGCAAACGTTCCGTCGTCGGTCGGCTTGCAGTAAAAGCCGTCGTTGCAATCGGTGTCGCCCTTGCAGACCTTGAACTGCTGCTGGCGCAAATTGGCGGTCGCGGCCACCGACGTGGCCGACAAGAGCGTGAGCAAGATGCGTGCCATTGGACTGTGGTGCGGTAGGACCGAGGAAAAGGAAAAGTGAGCGCTGGGACCAGCAAAGTCGTTGCGCGTCGGCTACCATCACCCAAGATTTTCCACGCGCGGCAAAGCTTGGGAAAAGTCCTTCTTTGCCAATCAAATCGAGGACGGAATGGATCCATTTTACGTAGTTCAAGTCGCACCCAGCTGCCGTATGCGCACAGGATCGCTTCATCTGTTGTTCGTCCAAGCTTCAATGCTCTCGACGACGCTTCTAGCCAAAGCGATTTCCACAGCGCAATGCTATCGATAGCACCTGTCGCAACGTGCGTCGCTTAATATGCATGGTTGCACCCTCTTTTTTTGATGGCACGCAGCGGACGGTGGCCAAGATGGGGACGGAAGTGGCGCCACAAGTTGGGTGGACGAAGCTCAGTCGTTTGCATAATCTTGCGCTCTATAGATTTGCAAATAAAAAGCGCGCGTTCATGGAGCCAACACCTTCGTATCCGGATACGCCTCGCCGATCGTCCTTCCCAACGCCCGCGTCGCACCCAGCTGCAGCGCTTGGAGTTGGTACAAGTTGTACCTAGAAATCGAGCAACACCACCAGCGTCAAAGATTCGCTCTCGTACTGATGCTCCCGAAAGTGACAATCCCATCGTGTAGCTTTCAAGACGTGGATGGCCATTCCTGCTTGAACATCACTTGGCGAAGCTCCGTGGCGTAGGTGCTGGGCAAACGAACTAAGAGACTCTAGTATTTAATGGCCTCTCAACTCGTTCGTCAGGCAAAAGCAAGCAAACGACTGCGATAATGGACCTACATATCCGAGAGGCTCACTTGTGCTGAGAGGCGGAACGCTCTCGAGAGCTTGGGTTGTTGGTTGAGTTGGTGCGTTATGGTGCTAGGAAATGCCTCGACGATGAAGTAGAATAGCTGTGGGCTTGGTACGAAAGCGCTTGGAGCAGGTCGCAGCAGTGTACACCAGTACAGTGTAGTACGCAACGACCGACGCAAATGACGAGGTTGCAATGGCAACAAAAATTTGTTTGCACCAAAAAACCGCGTCCGGTGGGAATCGAAGCCCCTTCCATTCGGCATTCGTGGACACCTTCCTCACTATGCCAAGAATAGTGTGCACGTGGAAACCCACGCGTTTCCGAATGTATTAGTGTACGTCCATTCAAGAGGGGATTAGGACTGGGCGACCGGGTGCTACCGACATTTGGGGTGCAACGCCATCGGGTGCAGTACGAGATTTCGTCCCACTCTGCGAAGCGCGCACCTTCTGGTCTCTGGCAGAAAGTCTGCGGCACGCGGCTTCGTGCATGATGAGACCGATTCTGCGAGCTCTTCCCAAACACAGAGCTCGAGACCCACTACGCAAAGTGGACACGTTATCTGGGTGCCATAATGTACAAAATGGACAGCCGGAACAGATGGCCCCATGTTCTTTCTGTGGTGCACGTCAACTCTGTCAAACACCTCTGTCAAACAGCAAGAACGACGCGTTTGTTGACCTGGTTCAAGCTGCTACCAACACGGTGTCCTTGCACCCAGCGCGTGCTGCGACACATGACCGTTTGCACTTTGTATTTTGAGCCATGAGCAGCACGCCCGTGCTCGTCGAGTCGCCACACACGTCGCCCATGGACGATGGCGTCCTGCTCGAGCTCGAAACACCTCCCAACGATAACGCCGTGGCAAAGACGACGACGACGCACACGTACCGGCCCGACGTCGACGGTCTCCGAACGCTGGCTGTCGTTCCCGTCCTCGTCTTCCACGCGTACCCAACGCTGCTTCCCGGTGGCTTTATTGGCGTCGACATCTTCTTTGTCATTTCCGGTTTCCTCATCTCGGGCATCCTCTTCCGCGAGTGCCAACTCGGCAAGTTTACCTACGCGGGCTTTTACGCGCGGCGCATCCGGCGCATCTTCCCGACGCTCCTTCTCGTCTTGGTCGCGACGTTCTGGCTCGGGTTCCTCTACCTCATGGCGCCCAAGCTCAAGGCGATGGCGGCCACGATGCTTGCTGCGACGCTCTTTGGCGCCAACCTCCAAGTGCTCACGCTCAAGCACTCGTACTTTAGCCTCGACGTCAAGTCCAACCCGCTCCTGCATCTCTGGTCGCTCGGCGTCGAAGAGCAGTTTTACATCTTCTGGCCGCTCCTCGCCTCGCTCCTCATGCGCCTTCGCTTCCGCGTTGCGGTGACGCTCCAAGTCCTCTTTCTGGTCGCGAGTTTTGTTGTCAACATCACCCTCCTCGGGTTCCACGGCGACAACAAGATGTCGTTCTACATGCCGCTGAGTCGGTTCTGGCAAATGTCGGCGGGCGGTCTCCTCGCCTATCTCGGCCTGCACGGGCGCGTGCTCTCGGGCGTCTGGCCCACGAACCTCGCGGCCGTTCTAGGTCTCAGCTTCCTCGTCCCTGGCTTTGTCTGCATCAACGAAGCGAGCGCGTTTCCAGGCTACCTCGCCCTCCTCCCGACGCTTGGCGCGACGCTCCTGCTCGCCGCCGGCGCCGACGCTGTCGTCAACAAGTACGCCTTGGGCAACGTCGTCGCCGTCTACATTGGCAAGATCAGCTACTGCCTCTACCTCTGGCACTGGCCGCTGCTCGTCTTCGCCATCGAGCGCTTCCCAGACGAAGCGGATCGCCCGTTCTACATGCAACCGTATGCGATGCTGCTCCTCAGTTTGCTGCTGAGTGTCATGACGTACGAAGACCTTGAAGGGCGGCTCCGGCGACGCAAGTCCAAGTACGTGACGCCGCTTTTGCTCGTATGCATGCTGGCGGTCGCGATCCTCGCGGGCTGCGCCTACAAGAACCCGTCGGCGTTTTCTGAGATCGAACGCGACCTCGCCAAGTCATCAGGCGCAGACGATGTGTCCAGAGTCAACATGGCCATGGCCGACCTCGACTGGAGCGTCGGAACGTCAGCGTGCGCACCCGACTCGGTTTACATTTCGGCGGCCACGAACCCGGTGCCCTTTCCGTTCACGGACCCGGTCCGCACCGACCAATTGGAGCGCTGCGAGGTCATCAACCCGGGGCACGAAGCCGACGGCACGCTCGTCGTACTCGGCGACTCGCACGCAGACATGACCGTGCCCCGGTTCATGAAGCTCTACGATGACGCGGTGGCGGCCAAGACGCCGTTTCCGACCATCGTCTTGAAAGACCGGTGGGGCCGCGCGATGCTGCCGTGCCGGCCCGAGTTTGCTGCGAACCTCGAGATGCTCAAGCACGTCAAGCCGCAAGCCGTCCTTGTCGTCGTGCACTGGGTGCAGTTCCTCAACCCCGGGGGACCGCTCGATCGACCGTATGCAGACCCGCCGCAGTGCTGCTTGGAAGAGTTCACCGCGTGCGCCGAGCAAACCATGAAGGACGTGCAGCACATCTTTGATGCGTTTGGCGCCGAGCTCGCCAAAGTGTCGGCGCTCGGTATCAAGGTGTTTGTCGTCGACCAGAGCCCCGAGTTCCCGCGGATGGTCCCCAACACGTGGCTCAGTGGCAGCAGCGTCAAGCCGCCCGCGCCCGTGAGCCGAGCGGCGTTCCAAAAAGAGATGGCGTGGCTCTTGGACCCGCTCCACGCAGCAGTGGCGGTCGCCAACGCGACGCTGCTCGACTATGCAGAAAACTACTCGACTGGCGATCTTCTGACACTCGTGGACGCAGACGGGCACCCGACAATGACCGCGGGCAACCACTTGAGCACGTACACGTCGCGAAAATACCTGTCGATCGTCGACCAAGTTGTCGCGGCGGCGCGGTCCTCGCCCTAGATGCTGGCCAAATAACTTATCAAAATCTCTCAGTTTTCGTGTTATAACGTTGTTGGTGGCATCAAGACGCCGTCGCATCGAACCGTTGTCCTGGCAACATCGTCCAACTTTGATTGAGTCGACCGACCTAGCTGCCAACTACAGTACCTTGCGAACTGGTCGACGGAAACGGCACCGCGTCGTCGTGCTCAGAGGCCTCGATAGCACTCTCAAGGACAAATTTTTCCACCCATCTACATGGAAACGCTACGACAAGTAGCTCCCTTCGTACAGCTCTCGTAACTTCTCCAGCATACGAGCTCGAGTGCAGCGCAAATTCAGCTAGCGTTGGGTCGGATGTGGCGTGCACAGAACGCCAGAGTCTGGCCGAATCTTGCTCGTACGACAAGCTGTAGCGGTTGGTTGG